GATCTATAGTGAATCCTGGGATGAACACTTAGTTCATGTAGGGGTAGTGCTTATGAAAATTCAAGCTACAGGCCTGATTCTTAAGCCAGACAAGTACCACCTCGGTATGGCAGAGGTCCAGTGCTTGGGACACCGGGTAGGCTGTGGGAAACAACGGACAGAACCCACCAAGATAGAAGCAGTCGCTAACTGGCCCACACCCCACACCAGGTATCGCATTTCGTAGGGACAGCTGGGTACTATAGGTGCTTCGTACCCGTCTACAGTATTATAGCTAAACCCCAAAGTCTACCTAGGCAGGTCCTGTGGTCTACCACATGTGAAGCTGCTTTCAAGTGCCTCAAACAAGCGCTAGTAAATACTCTTTACTAATGTCTTGGTTGCCCCAGTCCCTAACAAACATTTTATTGTTCATTAAGATGCTTCCATGTTCGGACTGGGGATAGTTTTGAGCCAAGTGGGAGACGATGGAGGAGAACACCCTGTCGCGTATCTTAACAGGGTCACACGGGACAATGGCCAATTACTACGCTGGAGCTTGGCCCTGCAAACGTACAATTACACCACCCATTACCGACCCGGGAAACAGAATGGCAATGCCGATAGGTTGGCCGGCAAATGGAACTTACCAACTGACCCAACCCAGGACTAGTGATGTACCGAACGGTTCGCCGGTGAACGGTTCCCGGCGAACATAGCATGTTCGCGTTCGCCACGACGGGCGAACATATGCGCGGTTCGACCCGCCCCCTATTCGTCATCATTGAGTAAACTTTGACCCTGTACCTCACAGTCAGCAGACACATTGCAGCCAATTAGCAGCACAGCCTCCCTAGCAGACCCTCCCACCTACTGGACAGCATCCATTTTAGATTCATTCTCAAGCTGCATGCTTAGTAAGAGGAGGGAAAGTGTAGCTGCTGTTCATAAGATAGGAAAAAGCATAGCTAGGTTAGGGTTAGGGTATGCTTTTTTTTGATTTTTTTTTTCTATGTAATGTAATTGCACTTAGTTGTCTGCCACTGCTGCCAGCTTCTGTGTCAGGCTCACAGTGCATACTGTGCCCATTTCCCCAGTCAGTGCCACCACTTACATCTGGTGTCACAATAGCTTGGATTTAAAAACAAAAAACTTTTTTCACTGTTATAGATTGAATAGCAGTCAGTTGTCTGCCACTGCTGCCAACTTCTGTGTCAGGCTCACAGTGCATACTGTGCCCATTTCCCCAGTCAGTGCCACCACTTACATCTGGTGTCACAATAGCTTGGATTTAAAAAAACAAAACACTTTTTTCACTGTTATATATTGAATAGCAGTCAGTGTCCTTAAAGCGGGTGTGTTACGCTAACAGTGGATATGGTGACCATTGCCACCACTTAGATCTGGTGACACAAAGCTTGGATTTAAAAACAAAAAACACTGTTTTCACTGTTATAGATTGAATAGCAGTCAGTGTCCTTAAAGCGGGTGTGTTACGCTAACAGTGGATACGGTGACCAGTGCCACCACTTAGATCTGGTGACACAAAGATTGTATTTAAAAACAAAAAACACTTTTTTCACTGTTATAGATTGAATAGCAGTCAGTGTCCTTAAAGCTGGTGTGTTACGCTAACAGTGGATACGGTGACCAGTGCCACCACTTAGATCTGGTGACACAAAGCTTGTATTTAAAAACAAAAAACACTTTTTTCACTGATATAGATTGAATAGTAGTCAGTGTCCTTAAAGCTGGTGTGTTACGCTAACAGTGGATACGGTGACCAGTGCCACCACTTAGATCTGGTGACACAAAGCTTGTATTTAAAAACAAAAAACACTTTTTTCACTGTT